CTATGTTTGGGGACGTTTCCATATTTTCCTCGTTCAAACAGTTTCCTATGTTGCTACCCAGGTACAATTTCACGTCTTGGGAATTCTACTGCTCTTTGCATTCATCCATAAGCATCATGAATAGCGTTATCAACACTTCCGTATGTAGTCCCTCATCTGTAAGTACACACACTTCGTGGTTATGCACCTCCCGTTTTTCTTTATGGCATCTTGTCCCCGACTTGTTATCATTCGTCTCATATATCACATGCTCGGCTTTTTCCTTCTTGTAAAGCTTTATAACTTTGTAAAAAGAACTATCTGGAATGTACTGTTTCATACGTATGTGTTGTTTTGAAAGCTAATTGCTACATACACTCCTTCGCCTTTGTATCAAAGGAGTAGGTGGTTTCCCGTTAAATTGATTGGTTGTAGACATTACAATTTCCTGAACGCATTGTTCATCGCTTCTGCGTGCTTGCTGTAATCTGTGGAATTAATTGTTCTCTTTCAACATATCAAAAATATACGAGTATTTATGTCCGAAACTATCCCACTAATGTTTTGGTATGTACAGATCACCATAGTTGTGTGCATCTATTCCCATTAGGTTTCTCCGTCAGGTAATTCCACCTATCACACCTTTATTTATCATAAATGTGTGCACGAGTACTTGGAGGAGATGCTCCATGGTCAATTTGCATTCTTCTCTTCTGATTCATCTAAAGGTTCTGTATGTATATCTAGAATCTTCTGTGGACTATGTGTTTTTTATTTTGCATGTACACGTTTTTGGGGATGTCTTAATTACGTATTAACTATTCATATTCAGGGTCGAACAGTGGTACGTCGTCACTATCATATCCGATATCGCTCTTCCTTTCGCAGTTATGGCTACACATTGTTGTCTGTATGTGTACTCATCTTCGGGATGTGCGGTTTTCCTATTTGGAAGCAAACAGGGACTCTATCAGCGTATATTACACTAGAAGTAGTTGGCCCAAGGGGTTAGCTTTAGTTCTGGCCCATCGCTTAAGTACTGACCGTGGCGCACTAAATTATATCTTTCCCTTGCGCATACATATACATATATCTATACTTCCATAAGAAAGGTAACCTTAGTAATGACACCCCGGATTGTTAAAATAATAGCTGACACCTCAGTAAAGGCAATAGCATCATTATGTAGTGTCGGTGGTGCTATGACGCGTGTTGGGTGGGCTTACAATTGGTGATTCCGTGCCGCAAAAGTAGCAGGCAGAATAACAGGAGAGGGAGCATCCGTTGCACTTAAGGACACTGTTTACTCCCCAAAACGCGGAATCTATTTGGGATGGATTGTGAAAGATCTGCATAAATTGATACGTAAAGGACAGCTGAAGCTGGATAAAATACAGTGAACCTACTCATAGAAGGAATTGCCAGTGACGTCCTTCGGGTAATATCCGCGGCTGGGGGATTGAATGTCGGACACCTTCAATCTTCACGTACAATATCAGGAAATTGAATAATTCGGACGGTAAGTATAGCTTCCCAATCTGTATCTATCTTACACTTATATTCTCCGTGTTTACACCCCCTGTAATTCCCTTCAACCTTTCAGCACTGAGAACTCCAGTAAACCTTGATATTGCTGCATTCCTATCTCCTCCAGAATTTGTTTTTTTACAGATCTGCCAGGTTTCGAATATGCACTTAAATATTTCAAAATCCTCACCGGTGCTCTGACAATTTTTCCATGGGTGGCGTCCTCACATTCAGAGTGACTGCACCTCACGGAAGTTCCGAATAATAACCTGGGCGTTGAGAGGTATTGTCATAGGGAGTAGCTGTAATACAGTTTGGTTGGGATGAAAAAGTATCAATGGTTCTTTGTATAAGATTTTCATTCGGAACAGGAGTATTTAGCATATGCAGGCAATGTGTTCCCCAGTGTCAGCCTAATGAATGTCACAGGAAGAATCCTTTTCATTAGGGAGTAGACTGCGAAAGACGTGTGTACACTCCTGTTCTCACAGTATGCAGGACAATTCTACCGTTCCCATTAAGCCTTTCCTTATTCTTTCGTATAAATAGTCAGGATTCAAGGAACAACCAGAACATGTAGTGATGGTCAAATAGGTGGTCAAAGAACCCAAGATATTCACATAAGACATGTCCCTGGGGGATTCTTGAAGGGTGAGAGGTGTGATAGGACATTTATGAAGTATGGTGTGAAATCACCTAGCATATGGTGTGAATGAACACATTAGATGTGTGTGTTATTATCGTGGTACGCTCCTTTACTATTATTCAGAAGGGTAGGAAATCTGTTTTTATATATCTGTCATGGAGTTCCCCGTGTCCAATGCTACGTCCATAATATCGGTTAAAGGTAAATATTCTGAACTAATAATTCTGTCTATATTACATTGTGTATTATATTGACCTTCTTGTTTTACATGACGTTGTCATTCCTGACATATTCCGGGATAATGAGTGCATGTTCTGAAGGATCATGCAATAGATAAATATTGTCTTATGAAAGGAAAGATTCGGACACTGCAGAGATGTCATGAGCAAGTGGATGGTATACTGGTGTGGGTCCGTATATTATATGTGCTAGGCCAAAAAATACAGTTTCGAGAAAATCTGCACTTTAGTTCGCTGCGTCTTCAGATTCAGAAGAGAGCGTTCTTTTTCAATAAAATAATAGCAATCAAATTGGGAGCATAAGTATTCTTTACAAATCCGTGTTATATTAATAGAGAGTAGGGGGGAGGCCGCCAGGCGGATTAAAGTTATCCCCTTGATCATGAGATAGGGCGTATCCTCCTAGTTCTCTATAAAGAGGTACATTAAAATTGAAAGGCAACAGCCAAGAAAAACAGGAGAAAAAAGAATTGTAATATTATACAATACGTGCTATGTCATGATACGCCACACGGTAAAACTCTGAGGTTTCATACATAACATATGGATTTATCGAAAAATGTGACCTATAATCTTAATTTGCACAGAATCACAAGATCAAATATAGATACCGCCTCTAAGGAGCCTTCGTATCCCTGGGTTAACAATCTTTTTGTTAGATAAAAGAGGATATTTATAAATTCTCTTTCCTTTTCTGCTTCCGATGTTCAGTTTTTCCTGATTAATTACTTTCCGTTTACTGTTGATTTGTGAACTGCTTCAAGCAATTCTGGAAACTATTTTTGCGCGCTATAACAATAACCCCAGGTGCAATTATGCCCTGTTAATAATGCACAACCGGAGGCGTGCATGTGCAAGGAAAAGGAAAAGAATTGAAACAAATTAAGTATAACATATATCATGTCGTGTCATTGAACTGTATAGAAGGCGTATATTATGGGATTTTTTTCCTTTGGAAGGAGTGCCTGCCGTTTGGAAGCAGATGCGTGGTTCGTTATTTAGGGACCAATCTCATGCGCGGCTGAGATATTATGAAGTAAGAAAAAATACTCTCTTAGCATGAGGTTTTGAACGATGTGAATCACAGAAGATATACCCTTTTAGTCTATATGATATTACATGTAGGACCACAATTAGAAATAATATGCAAGATAAATTCATTTTTATAAATAATTTTTGGGGAATTATTTTATGGAGCTCAAGAAAAAGTGACTGGGTAATTTTTTTATTTCGTACAACATAAAAACGCGGTGGTAAAGGAATCCGCAGAATCAAGGGAATGTACCAACACGTAATGCTGCGGGAAAAAATGTTTCATCCAATTCAATTTTTTTAGAGATTTTCACAGAGCATCACGTAATGGAAAATGCAAGAAAAAAGAGAAAAGAGAAACGCTTTAAAGTGTGCCATATTCTGCTCACGATGATGTATATGTCACGGTGACTCTATATACACCTGATACTGGAGATCATCGCAAAAGGGACATCACAGGAAAAAAATGCGTGCAAATATAATCTTTACGCAATACTGAGTAATATGCGAGAGTCCACCACTCTGGTGTCCGCATCTTGTGAGGGAGTCATTTTTTATTATTCTTCACTACTTCATTACATAAGTGGATGTATTTTTGTGGACAATTTCAGAGGTAAAAAAAACGAGTGATGAGTCCTATGATGGAATTCTCGCCTTGCATGAGCAGGGCTAACATTACCTAGTGTATGGTGGAAATGGTCCTATGTAACCTGTATTATATTTGAATCTTGAGCAAACAGTTTATATTCTTTTGATGCGCAACGCAATTAGTTGGAGGGTGCCTGGTTCCTAGTACAGCAATTGTGGTATTATATAAGGTGTAAGATGTAGCATCATAAAGAACATATGTCTACGGAGAATCCAATTTTAGCACAGTGAATGTGGATAGAATATCTAGCCGCCACAATTTGGAGCAGCATGAAGGCTTCCAATTAGGTGGGGATAATGTAATAGGAATTATGGTTGGAGACCATTCCGTCTGTTAGTATAAGCGAAGTGATAATTTTTCCTTGCAATGCCATTTATGCATGGCCGCTGATTGGTATAAATACCAAGAGGCATTTTCTTGGTTCTATTATCTTCTTATCCGTTCTCCTTTACACACAGATGGGTTTCCCAAGTAGTTCGCAGGAACCAAGTGCAAAGAGAAAGATGAACACGTGTAAATGTGTTCCTATAAGGATGCTCCCAATAACCAGATCTCATGTCTCAAAAGTGGAAAACAACGAACAAACCATTACAGATTCTCTAGGGGGGACGTGAACATTGCTGTTAACATGGCATAATCCAGTCACCAGACACGGGTAACAGAAAAAATTTATTTTGAACAGTTGGACAATACGACCGCGTTCAAATTAGCACCAGAATTACCTGGCCTAATTGGGAAAAGATACATGAATCCGCCGTTGAGACATTAAATATTATGCTCTTCACATAAAATATTGCAAACACTACTCGGTTCCTTATGAGGGAGTATATTGATTTGGTTGCTCCATATGGATGGAATCAATTTTAACATTAAGACAATGCCGACGTGTATATATTTATTTATTCTAATAAATGGGGGATGTTCGAAAGTACACAACACATATCTGCCTGGAGGCATTCATATGGCATGTGCTTCTGCATGCTGTACATAAATAATGGATATTAATAGTAATTGTTTTGTGAGGATCACGTTAATAATAAATCGTTTCCGCGTTATAAACACTGCTTCCGTAGCGTCCTATAGGAATGAAAGGATTCTTAATTATTCATAGGAATATGAAAGAGGCGAGTTTTAATATAGCATGCATTGTTTATACGTGTATCTAATTTGAAAACAGTGAAACATATTTATATATACAGAAAAGATGAAGACTTGATATAATCCATTAAGGATAAAACTCCACTAGA